CCCCAAAACCCCAAAACCCCAAAACCCCAAAACCCCTTTTAATTTTTCTAAAAATGAAGATTAGAAGCTAAAATGTTATAAACTGAAGGACGAAAACCACCATTCCAAAGCCTACTGCAAGTGAATCTAGGCATAATGCAGTGATGAATTTGGACATCGGCTTCTTCTCAAACTTTTTGATGTTGCCATTAGTAGTTCTAGAATTATAAGTAAGGTGCTTACGTTATCCCGACTTCATCGGACATATCTTGCTCTTTGTCTAAGAATCTCTCCTTAAGCTCGTCAGAAGCTGGATCATTAAATATTTGGGCTTCTGGTTTAGATCAAAGATTGCCTTGGCCTTCCTTTTCATGAGAACTCTCAAGAATATACAGAGCTTCAGGATCTTTGACTTCAAGCCAAGTTCTCCTGAGGTGAAGTATCGCTGGTAAGAGATAAATAGCGAAGATACCCAAGATGCTCCCTCAATAGCCCAGCATGTCTCCTACTCTTGGGTACCATATTGCGAGGACTACTCAAGGAAGACTCGCAATAAAGTTGTAGATATAAAACACATAACCTTCGAATTCAATCTTCCCAATAGCCTTGAAGAAGTTGACTCTCACAATATGAAAAAGAAGAGGGTAGACGGAAAAGATTTGGATGAACGAGACTACCCTCACAAGTGTAGCTATTGGATTACTTGTAGGGAACATGTTTAACAAATTTTGCTTTATGGGCATCCCTTTGAAATAGCTTCCACTGAATCCAAAATATCCTCAAATTCCAATGATGCAATAGGTGAAGAAGACCAAGAAATATCCTCAGAAAGTATCTCTTGTATTTTTATCTTGATCTTTATTGTCCAAAATAATTGGCAATCCTAACTGGTGGAGGTAATATCCAGCTGCGAGCATACCTGTTAACGACTGGAAGTTTGTATGGAACATTGCTATATTCTCTGGCCCATCACTTTCTTCTTGAACTAGAGTTAAGTAGTATTCAGTATTTGTTAAAGAGTAGATAAACATAACTACAACGAAGATAATTTGGATTATGATAAAAACTACACCTATACTCGAGATTTTGATGAATATAGATCTGTCCTTCATTCACACAATGAAGTATAATGGGAGGAAAATTATTATACTCGTCCATGTCAGTGAGAAAGTTGAGAAGTCAACATCAGTCTCCACACTTGCTGTGTAAGTCTCGGTGAAGATATCTTTTATCCCGATAATGAAGGGGAATAAAGTCTGTGTCTGTAGCTGGTAATATATCAAGACTCCTCCATATAACATTATAATTGTAGTTACTATTGCTGCATATTGACCTTTCTTACCAAAGAATCTGTTGAGAGTAATCAAGAAATCATAGTCACCTTTACCTCATATCACAACTAAGTTTCATGTGTAAAAACAGACCATCATGACTCAAAAATTGATGGCTAATGACAGTAGAATCCCTGACTCAGAGAAGGCCCAAGGGTGGCTGACAAGGCCTCCTCCCACCATCGAATTCCAGATAGCAAATATCGTTATATAACTGCTTTGTTTATTGTGCTGTATTTCGTCCATAGAAGGCATCAAAAATATCTATGGTTAGATTAAGCAAATTTACCAAATAACTTTTAATGAAGCACAGGAAGTCACACAAAAATTCTCTATCTAGAGTTGGTGACCAAACCAAGAGAGGGAGATACTATACTGAGTGCTCTAAAATTCCCGATGGGTCTCTAATTTGCCCACCTGGAACCAAACTGTAACAATCAATGCAAAAGTTTACCTTAGTTTTTAGAAGATTTAATAAAAATAATTTAACTAAATTCTATTCACTTTATGAAGAAAGGGGTTTTGGGGTTTTGGGGTTTTGGGGTTTTGGGG